AGGATTAAAAGTGTAATTAATTCTTTGATATCCAATGAACTCTTGTTTTATGATTTACCTCAATTGTAAAACCTAGAAAGGGTAATATTTTCAAACTTTTGATTAAACATTTTTCAACATCCTTTTAATTGATATTTTCAAACTTTTGAAAATAAAAGAAGTAGAAAAACGTTTTTCAAACAAGACAATTTCTTTGGAGTGGATCTTGGTAGTTGACATGTGGCTCTCAGACACAAAGCTCATGTTTAGAATCAGTGTTGAAGTAAGAAATGATGATTGTTAGGACATCTTTGGAGATTCAACATCCTAAAGTGAATGATCAAATCTTCTGAAGGATTTTCCTCTACATGTAGGAACAAGTAGATTATTTGTCTCCCTTGAGATTGCTTCTCTTGAAACAAAGCGTCTTCTTGCTAGAGACAGTTTTTTCTAAAAATAAAAAAAAATTCTCGCTTGAGACAGTTTTCTAAAAACAAATTTTGTCTCGCTTGAGACAATTTTTCTCAAAATAAATTTCATCTCGCTTGAGACATTTTTTCTTTAAAACACAAATTATGAAGTTGTTTCACTAGAAACAAAATTTATAATCTTTGAGTCTGTTTCTCTTGAAACAAATTTTATCTCCTTTGAGACAGTTTCTTGTGAAACACCAATCTTTGTGTTTGTTTTCTTGGAAACAAAGTTTTGTCTCCCTTGAGGCAGTTTCTCTTGAAATATTATCTTTGAGATCGTTTCCCTTGAAACGAATTTTGTCTCTCTTGAGACAGTTTCTCTTGAAACATTATATTTGAGATCGTTTCCCTTGAAATGAATTTTTCTCTCTTGAGACAGCTTCTCTTGAAACATAATCTTTGAGTTTTTTTCCCTTGAAACAAATTTTATCTCTCTTGAGATAGTTTTTCTTGAAGCAAATCCCTAAAGATTGTCAGCCATCTTCATGACGTAGGAACCGTGTCATCCACCGACCAGATCTCATCATCACTTAGGAGCCGCGTCAACCTTAGATAACTAGTCGTCCTCATCACGTAGGAACCATATTTTCATCCTTAAATATGGTCAGTCATCCTCATCACGTAGGAACTGTATCATCCCCCAACCAGATCTCCTCATCACGTAAGAGCCATGTCACCCCTATATAACTAGCCGTCCTCATTACGTAGGAGCCATGTTATCATCCCTAAAGATGGCCAATTATCCTCATCACGTAGGAACCGTATTATCCTCCGACCAGATTTCCTCATCACTTAGGAGCAGTGTCAGCCCTAGATAATCAGTCGTCCTCATCGCGTATAAACCATGTTATCACCATCCCTAAAGATTGCATGGTGTGCTCATCACCTAGGAATTGTGTCAGCCACTGACCATACCTCCTCATCACGTAGGAGCCATGTCACCCTTATACGACCAGAACTCTTCATCATGTATGAGCAGTGTCGTCCTCAACAACAAACATATCCAATTTCTAATAAAAAAAAAGTAGAACCAGACAAAAACGTATTGTCTTGTCGTCTTTGCCCTATTCTTGTTAACACAAGAATGTGTAAAGAGGGGAGACATTCATTTTTGTCCATGTCATTTTTATTTTATTTTAATTTATTATTATTATTATTAAATTAATATATATTTACATCTTTTGTAGGCCTAATAGTGACCCTATTACAACACCCATAAGCCCAACCCGAAGTTATTCAAAAGCCCAGGATTCGACCCACCTCAGGCCCACTGGATAACCTAAAAGATTAGGGTTTACCCTTTTGCTTCAGCTACCTCTTTCCATGATCGTTGGATCAAATTTGATCCGACAGTCTAAGTAGACCCAGATTAAGGTTTATTACCCTAACTTCAGCAACCGTTGCACGCCAAATTTTCAGCTTCCCAGTATAGCTTCACCCTCACTGCCGTCACCATCAGAGCCGATCAAAACCAATCCATCATCTACATTGATCAAAAACTACTCCCATCAATCAAGACAGTCTATCAGCAGTTAGAAAAAAAGAAAAATAATAGAGAAATAAAAAGATCTATTTGTACTAGGAAATCCCAAGGCAAATTTGGAGATGCCACGATTCTATCTCTTTGGTGGTAGAAAAATCATTACAAAGATATCAACATGAACCATATATTCGGGGATCAATCAGAGAGAAATGAGAACTTCAAGGGAGGGGAAAATGGAGGAGGAGGAATCGAACTAAAAAAAAAGAGGAGGAGTTTTCAAAAGATAAAAAAACTACAGATAGAATAAAAGAAAACAGAAAACAAAAGAAGGGGAAGAAAGAAAAACAAATCAACCAAAAAGAACAAAGAGATGAGAAACCTTTACCTTGGTTTGGAGTTCACTAGGAAGTCGAAGGGACACATATCTTCTTGTTTCTTTCAAGAGGTAAACAATAGATCTAGGGTGTTAGGGTCGCTTTTAGGCTGAGATGGTTTGGGATATGGGTTGAGGAAGATGAGAAGAAGATTTTGGGGTCTTTTGATATCTCCGGCCACTGTGAACTGTCGTGGGCTCTGTCGTGGTTGTCGTCGGTATAGGGCGGCTCTTTCTTCCCCGACGAGGGAAAGTTGAGAGAATTTTTAGAAACCATCTCTATATTTTCTGAGACAAATAAGGGAATGAGGGGAATAAGGGTTTAGGCCTAGGTTTGGGCTTAAATATCCAGAGCAAAACGACGTAGCTTCGTCATCTCCATTCCTTTGTTTTCATATTAGGGTAAATATCTGTTAAAGTCCCTGTTCTTTTATAACATGTTATTTTAGCTATTAATGAAGTTTTATTTTCTTTTGTTTTATTCCTGTTATTTATGTTTTCTTATATTATAGTCTTAACTTCACTGTATCAAATTCCTATTAACTTTCGATTATTTACCTTTAATTTTTCTAATATTCATTTTGGTCATTTATCTTTATTGTAGGTAAAATATTAAATTATGCCTGTTTGTTTTCACTGTATTCCATTTTAGTCATTTGTCTTGTTGTATGAAAATGGTAATTTATGCAACAGGGCCTTAAGGCTAACCTTATTTCCGTTTTAGTCATTAAGTTTAGGGTGAATCACTACATAGTCCCTCTAAGTTAGGCATTTTTACACTTATGTCACTGTATCTTGGGTTATTTACTCACAGGACCCCAACCTTTGTTGTTCTATTATGTTTTAGTCACTAGGTGTTTCATTTCAACATTTCTTTGTTTCAAGTATCTTGTTTTTAATTTGTTCTGATTTGATCAGCATTTGAGATGTCCCTTATTTGAATTTAGTTATTGATCTTTGTATTACTTCTTTTTAGCCATTAATGATTTTTTTTAATTCTTTGTTTTGAACCCGTTATTGGTTATTTATTTTGTTTTAATCCTTGTTTGTCTAGCTAATCAATTTATGCTTTATTGGTCATTCATATGTATGAGTGTATTATTTTACATATTGTTTCCATATTTGTATATTGATTTTTCAAATGTGTATATGGGTACGTATTTTACGTATTATATAATTTGATTCCTATACAATATCTTTGCTTGTTAAGATTATTCATTCGTGCATTTTCATGAAAAACAATTTGTAAAATGGGAGTGGAAAGCATTGCTTGATTGAAGTAGTTCAATCCGATACGACATTCGAACAAAATGTGAACTTGAAATAAATTGATTTTATTTTACTAATTAATTCATTTTTATTTTATAATTGAACAATACAATGTATGTTTCTCTAAATAGTAATTTATTTTATTTTATGCAAAATGTCGGTATGCAATTTATATTCGATTTGCGGTTTTATATATTCTAAGATAGAATATTCTTTTATGAATGAGAAATAGTTGAAATAGTTTTTCCGATGGAGGATTGCCAATTTTGAGATTTCTTATCAAGGTAAAGAATTTTATTTAAATAAATAATTCGAAACAAATCAATTAAACTTTACTAAATGGATCATACTTTAATTATCATCGCAAATTTATGATCTCCACTATTACGACAATATGTAAGCATTTAAGTACCAATTTTGGGCGGTGTGGGGGTGCTAATCCTTCCCCACGCGTAATCGACTCTCAGACCCGTTAAATTGAATTTTTGGTAAATGTATACTAATTTTTGTCTTAAAAACGATTTTTTCTTAAAATTATTTTAAAAGACGTTTTTAGGTATTCGACCTACCTATCTCAAAGGTCGATGACGACTCCCTTTCAACTTAATTCAAATTAATTCAAAACTGTCAAATTTTTAAAATAAAAGTCATAATTATTTTTAAACTTAATTGTTTTCTCAAAAAATGGTTATCACAACACTATGTCTATTTATTTTTCTTTAATTTTGATTGTAATAAACTATTCAGGGTTCAATTCGATAGATAAAAAATATTAATTTTAATGAAATTAAAAATAATTACAACATTGAAATCATAAAAACATGTTGTCATTTATTTTTAATTAAGAATATTTTTTATTAGTCTAAAATTAATATAAAATAATATTTATTTAGAATTTTTTATTAATCTAGGATGAATATTAAGTAGTATATGTTCAAAAATACTTCAACTTTCAACCATTTTGACATTAAACGCTTATATTTCTGACATTTCAGTGCTCGAACCTAAAACCTCAAAGAATAACAACAAATCTTATTTCTAGTGCTCGCAAATCCTTTACCACTGCAATTGCTTGGTTCGTGTGATTTTTTTAATTAATTGATAACGAATATAAATATCTTATAAATACAATTGCTTGAATTTAAAACGTTCAATAAAAAAACGGTTTCATCTATTAATAAGATTATTCAATAAATTTTTAAAAATGATATATTTTATACATTTATTGTATGGTATAAATATATTTTAAAAATTAAAATGATGTAATAGTATTCAGCTAAATCAATCTATTCGTTTAGAATGAAACGACATCGTTGCAAGTAGCAATGTGATAGAACGGCTAGTGAAAGCATAAATGATAAATTGATTATCCACTTGAAATGAAACAACGTGGCAATGTTCGCATCACATCCTTAGTTTTCTCTCTCTCTCTCTCTCTCTCTCTCTCTCTCTCTCTCTCTCAGCCGAGTAAAAGGAGCAGAGTAAAAGGAGCAGAGCAAAAGTCAATACACATACACACAACTAGCAAAGCAAAATCAGCAATGGCGTTGAGACTCCCCACTCAGCTGGCGACACGTGGCACATTCCACCACCACCACAACAATTCCAGAACTGCAACCACCACTGTGCTTTCATGGCGGCGGACTCTAACGCCGGACGCTCTACCAATCCCCTCCTCCACCTCTCTAACCACCAGTAAGCACCCCTTGTTCTTCATTTTGCTTCAAATCAAACGATATTTCGTATTGATCCTTCTTCTTTTTGCCTCCGGCAGAGAAATCGCATGTGCAGCAAATGGTGACTTGCAGTGCCAGTGGAAGTGCTCAGGCTGTGAATTTGGCTCCGGGGACTCCCGTCAGGCCGACCAGCATACTAGTCGTTGGCTCCACCGGAACTCTCGGGAGACAAATCGTGAGACGCGCGCTCGACGAAGGGTACGACGTAAGGTGCCTTGTTCGGCCGAGACCTGCTCCTGCCGACTTCCTTCGTGACTGGGGTGCCACCGTTGTCAACGTAAAGATCTTGGTCTAATGATGCTTTTAATCCCTCCACTATTTTGAAATTATAAATTTAGTCTCTTCATTTTATAATCTATAATTCTATTAGGAGCTCCAGATTGATGACATTACTAGTTTCTGTTCAAGACTTCAAGTAATCTGGTGAAAATTTTCTGTTGTTACTAAAAATTACAACGTATGGTAGATTCACATGTCAGTTGTCCAATGCTCTTCGAAAATGTATACTTCAATTTACCCAAATTTATTGCTTTCACCCTCTATAAGATTTGCACTTTATTGTATACTTTTGAGCAGGCAGACCTTAGTAAACCAGAGACAATTCCTGCAACATTGGTCGGCGTCCATACGGTTATCGATTGTGCCACGGGCCGTCCGGAAGAGCCTATCAAAACGGTATCGTTGAATAATTATGGTTATTATTGCTGTGTTTTTTCTTTTGTTGTTGCTCAAATCTAAGGTTATCTAATTTTCATGTGTTGTGTTTAGGTAGATTGGGAAGGAAAAGTTGCCCTTATACAGTGTGCAAAAGCAATGAGGATTCAGAAATATGTGTTCTTTTCCATTCACAATTGTGATAAGCATCCCGAAGTTCCACTAATGGAGATCAAGTATTGCACTGAAAAGTTCCTTCAGGACTCCGGCTTACCCCACATCACGATCCGGCTTTGCGGTTTCATGCAAGTAAATGTCATCTAAAAAACTTGATCTTTGCCGATATTATGTGTTTGTGTGTGTATATGTACATGTTTCCAAAATCTTTAGCGAAAATGTTGCAAGTGAACATGATTTCTTGGAAGAACCAGTATGATTGAATTAATTTATGTGTTTGAAGTTTGAACGTCGTTTGCTATCATATTTAAGCTGTGGTGTTGTAAATGGTTGTTGCCATTTTTTCAGGGGCTTATCGGCCAATATGCAGTGCCTATACTGGAAGAGAAGTCCGTATGGGGGACAGATGCTCCGACTAGAATTGCCTACATGGACACACAGGTTGCACATGCTTAAATCATTTTGCGAATCGGTTATGTGTATATATGGCCTGATCGTTGTTGTCGATCATGGGATTTCGGTATTTAATCCAGCTTCTTTTGGTTTTAGGATATTGCTCGATTGACGTTTATAGCTTTGCGCAACGAGAAAGTTAATGGCAAGCTTCTCACATTTGCTGGTCCTCGTGCTTGGACAACCCAAGAGGTATGTAAGTCTGTATTGTCGCTGCTCCTTTGCAACCAGTGACGATTTCAGGTGATTGATCTCGAAGATAGTGCAATGTTTTATCTTTCATATCAACAATGTCTTGGGGATCTCGACTTATCATGTTAACATATTGCCATTCCTAAGTGCTGATATGGAACTCTCGGAAAAAAAGAGCCACTGATTTATTCTGTGTTAAAATTTCTTATACTTAAGGTGATAGCATTATGCGAGAGGCTCGCAGGGCAAGATGCAAACGTTACCACGGTTCCGGTTACCATCTTAAGATTCACACGACAGCTGACTCGGTTCTTCGAGTGGACTAATGACGTTGCTGATCGATTGGCATTTTCGGAGGTAAATAAGTGGTTTTTTCCCTCGTCTGCTCGGCATTATCCCGGTGTTGGATGGTTATCATCGTTCTCTAGATCTTTTCAAGGATACTAATGCCGTGCACATTGTCAGGTTCTTACGAGTGACACGGTTTTCTCGGCACCGATGATGGAGACGTACAATCTTCTCGGTGTCGACTCGAAGGATATAGTTACACTGGAAAAGTATCTGCAGGATTACTTCACCAACATTTTGAAGAAACTGAAAGACATCAAAGCTCAATCGAAACAAACCGACATCATATTTTGAAAGGAAAAAACCTACATGTAAGCAAAGATACAAAGTCGGGGTAAAACTTTTGTTGATGGTCTGACCTTTGGCTTTATCAAAATATTTATGTTTTATTGACAAATAATATCAAATTATAGGTAAGTACAAGATAGTACCGATTTAAAAATAACTTCTGATCTCTTGACGTTGGAAGCTCCCTCCTAGTGTTGAATTCGAATCTTAAAGAGATATCAACAATTTTTCTACTATAAAATCCATTGATTAGTGCATCATTTACATTATATATAGAGAGAAAGATAAAACCACCTAATTATCTCCCTGCTGTTTCTCTTTGTCACGGGGTGTTCTAGTTCAAAGCTAGATTTTCTCCCTGCTGTTTCTCTTTGTCGGGAAAGATGCAGTTTTTTAGATGAAGCGATTCAGCAACGATTTGCTTTTGCTGAAGCTCATGTTGCGTACACTGCTTCATTGAAGTTATTTGGTCAGTCTTTGAATAATTTCATCGAGCATGATTTTGGTACTTCTTTAGAGGAGTCGCCGCCCCCTTCTCCGCCGTCTCATAATCAACTTAAGAGTAAAGTGGTGGATCCGATTCAAGTTGGGTCGGGTTTACCCAAAAAAGGCTATGTTTCTCACCGCCATTCCCATTCCAATTCCGGATCTCATCTTCGGTTCCATTCGGATTCGGATGATGATGATGATGATTCCGGCGGGTCTTTGCACCATTCGGATCACTCTTCTCCTTTGCACGGCGGCGGTCATATAGAGTATATGCACAAGAATTATCCCAATTATGCAGCTTTTGAAACTGGGTCTTTTCCAGGTGGGTTTACGCATATGAATTTTATGAAGAAACAACCAACGCCGTCTATTGTTTATGCACAAAGGCCTATAAATCTAGAGATTGTTTATATGGGGAATCTTCATCGTCCTCTTCTTATTATCCTTTCTCTTATGTAAGTAATGATAATCCTAGTTCTAGTTCATACCTTAATCCGGGTTACCCAAATTACGATGGTTTCAGTAATTATTCTAGTTATCCAGCGCCTGGTTACGAGTATTTAATGCAACCGTCGGCGGGAACGGCGGAAGGGTCATCCTCCAAACTGCCGCCGCCTCCTCCGCCTTCACCTTCCAGAGCTTCAGCTTGGGATTTTTTGAACCCTTTCCAGAGTTATGAAAACTACAATCCTCCTTATACACCGAGTAGGGACTCGAGGGAGGTGAGAGAAGAGGAAGGGATCCCTGATTTGGAAGATGAAGATTATCATCATGAGGTAGTTAAAGAAGTGCACGGAGACCAGAAATTTGTCGATGGCGGCGGGCAGTCGATGCCTCCGGTTGAAGCTGAGTATGGCAAAGTTGCTAGTAGTGAAGCAGAGGCTTCGCATCATCAGGCGAGGCCGAGCGATGGGATGGAAAATGATGGGGTGGAATATGAGGTTCATGTGGTGGATAAGAAAGTTGTGGATGATGAGAAGGTTGAGGAGCATGGCAACAAACCATGAGCCGCTCTGAGGAATGCTTTCGAGTTGGCTCGAGAGATACGGGCTCAGTTTGTGAGAGCTTCCGATTCAGGGAGTGAAATTGGCAAGTTGCTTGAGGTGGAAACACTTCACTATCAGCGAAAACATGGTAATTGTTTTCACCTGTGAATAGGAAAGTGTGAATTTTCACTATATATATGTATAGGTTTCTGATTTGCATATTGATTAGATTGCTATTTTTTCCTGTAATGGTAACAGCGTAATGCTAAACGTCGGATTTCGGTATCTTTTATGAAACAGGTTCCAAGATGTTGCATGTGGTTAATCCTTCATTATCAGTTGTATCATCATCTCAGCCATTGACTTCTGAAGCTGCCGAGGCTTCATCTTCGACTTACAATACCGATCCAGCTTTACTAGACTTCGGTGAAGAACTGTCCAGGAAACCGAAAACCCTTTCCTCTACTTTGCAGAAGTTGTATCTTTGGGAAAAGAAACTCTACAATGAAATAAAGGTAAATTGTATTTGTTTTTACCTATCTGCACTTGAGAATATATTGGTTACCTCAAAATTCTGTTTGGTCTACTTAATTCACGTGTTGCATTCGGTTCCATTTCATTTCAGTGTATTGTGTTGTTTGATTGTCTATTATTTCTACCCGCAATGTTTTAGTTTAATTTGATTTATACGTCAGATATTCTTTTGCCTTTGAAGGGCTTCATGTTGTTGCATTTTATGTTTTTTCATATCGTTACTGTTGTTTCTGCACCCTATTTCGAGTTGATCTTCCAGGGTTATTACAATGGTTTAGTTATGTTCTGGGTTAGGAGCACTTGGGCCTTTTCTTTCAGTAGTAACCTTTTTTTGGTGTTCTTTAACTAGAAGTTTCCTACAAAATGCAGGCTGAGGAGAAGATGCGGGTAGGATATGACCGGAAATGCCGCAAGTTGAAACGACTGGATGAAAAGGGTGCTGAAGCTAATAAAGTTGATTCAACCCGTAATATAATCAGGAGCCTATCCAAAAAGTTAAGAATTGCAATTCAAGTTGTTGACAAGATATCCTTGACAATCAATAAGATCAGGGACGACGAACTATGGCCGCTGCTCGATGAACTGATTGAAGGGTATTTTCTTTTTCTCCCGTTTGTTCGACTCATTGCATTTTCTTATTCTCATTCTGCTTTATCTCCTTTCGTCGCTCTTCAGCCTTGGTGTTTTGCTTTTATCATGTAATAATGTATTATCGTGTGATAAACTTCGAATATATGATCATCGCTTTTACAATTTTCTTATGTTTTTTCCTTGTAATTCGTTTTTCCAGGTTAAGCAGAATGTGGAAATGTATGCTTGAATGCCATCGTAATCAGTATCAGGTGATTAGAGAAGCCGAAACATTCGGTTCTATCGGGTCAGGCAAAAAGCTCGGCGATGACCATTTTACAGTAACGCTGCAGCTCAAGCATGAACTTATTAGTTGGACACTAAGATTCTGTCGTTGGATGGGTGCCCAAAAGGGTTTTGTCAGGGCTTTGAATAATTGGCTTCTGAAATGTCTTTACTATGAACCTGAAGTGACCGATGACGGAATCTCGCCCTTCTCACCTAGTAGGGTTGGTGCACCCCCATATTTGTAATATGTAACCAATGGTCACAGGCAATGCATAGAAGTATCTGAAAAGGAGGTGGTTAACTCAATTCGGATTTTTTCCATGAGTCTACTCCAGCTTTGGGAACAAGATAAGTCCGAAATGCATCAGAGAATGATGGTCAATAAGGATTTAGACAGGAGGGCTAGGAATTTGGATAGAGAGGATCAAAGGTTACAGAAAGAGATCCAAGCATTAGATAAACAAATTGTTTTGGTTTAGGAAGATGGCAATGGTCTCTCGGTAGCTGGACATGCCGTGTATCAGAGTGAGACGAGTAACCGTAATATGCAAGGGAGCTTGCAACGCATTTTTGAGGCAATGGAGAGGTTCTGTTCGGAGTCCTCCAAAGCCTAGACGAGCTTTTACAACGTGTTAAAGAAAGAACCGCCCAAGAGCATGAGAGAGTTTCGTAGGGAGATACAAAATGAAATGAATTACGACATCGTCCCTTTGGACCAATGATCTAGTTTATGCAGTCCGTTGCCCCTGAGCGAAATGTAGCTCGGTGGTGGGTTATTCTGGTCCTGTAATGCACAACTTTGCTGGTTGCTCGTCCATCAGTGAAGAAATAAGGATGGGCAAGTTGCTCGGTGTTGCGGATCGCAAGCGTCTTCCAACCGACAGTCGAAGCTTGGCAGGAGCTCGAGACATTGATTTGACATTTGGTCGAGACGTAAGAACCATTCATGGTTTCGAAAATCTACTCAGACAGCAACTCATTGTGTTCTATCGACTTGTTGGCATCATTTGCCCCCCTTTCCATTGAAAGAAACTGGGGCTGAAAACCCCAGTTTCCATTGATTTATTAAAGAGATTCGTTGTTTCCAGGAAAGAAAAGGTCTGAAAACCACTGTTACTGCCATGATTAATGCAGAAAAAACAAGATTACCTGATTGAAAGAGCTCAATGCAATGCGTGTACCGTACAAGATGGAATACTTATTTTTCAACCCTAAAGAGTGTTTTCAAATATCAATTTGATCCCTGTACTCTCTTTACCTCGCACTGTTGTTGTCATTCTCGACGTTGCTCTTATTATTTTTTTCTCTAGCTACAAGCACCTTTAGGAGCGAATATTTGATCGAGTTCATGAGCTTTATTTTATAATTAATTTTTTTATCGAGTCTAATTATTCTAGTGTTTGTTTAAATTTAATTGAAAATATTTATAATGTTATTGTATTCCATACCCATATAAGATATACATATCTTTTTTATATGCAATATACACATATCATGTAGAGTTTAGGAACTCGAATCAAACTTAAAATATATTTACTAATTAATAAGAATTTTGAGTCTTATTTTTTTCATAGGCCATAATATTACACCTTATCAAACGATTTACGTTCAGCTCCTCCGCTCTTAGCTTCTTCAATCCATTTGGGATCTCCCATGGCAGATACATTTCTGTCGTTCTCAACGACAACACTACCAAGTCTTGGATCAAGCTCCGACAGGAGAGTTTTACCCAGCAATCTCCAATGTATTTTACTAAACTAAAAAACATAATTGACAAAAACTACAATGATTGAATAGCCACGTTTCCAACCTTATTGCAATAACTGGTCGTCCTTTAGTAGGTGAGAAGAGAATCTGAAATCTGCTTCCTCACTTATGGTATTTCATAACTGTACGAAGATAACATTAGACGAAATTGTAGTCTGAGAAAAGAACAAAACATTAAACCAAATTTCAATGATGTTGTCACCATTCTCAATTATCATAAGCCAAAATTATTTCATATATGAATGTTAATAGATAAGCCAAAATTATTCCATATATGAATGTTAATAGATAAGCCAAAAATATTCCATGAATGTTCATAGTTAGATGGTTGAAAATCTTTGAATAGATACTGTATCGTATATTCACCTTTGTTTTTATCAACATTGATACAATGGATTTTAAATTCGATATGCCTCGAGAACTATAACTGTGGTCAATTT